ATAATAATAATAACTTTTTTTTGTAAAAAAATATTTGGCAGAATGAGGCAACTCTATATTTTTATATAAATATTTTTTTTAAAAATAAGATGGCCAAAAGTTAAATTTAACTATCTTAAGAATTTCGCATTTAAATTCTTTATCTCCTCCTATATAATAATTTTTTTTTCAAAATCGATTCAGCAGAAATAAGCCAACTATATATTTTTAAACAAATATTTTTTTGCAAAAATGATTTTGCCTAATGTTTAAACATATATTTTTCAGAAAAATAAGGTGGCTAAATGTTATATTTAACCAACCCAAGCATTTCACATTTCAATTCATCATCTCTTCCTTTTATACTCACTAATATTTGTCAAACATTATTCTCTCTGTCAATGTAGGACAACCAACTTAAACTACAATCCAATTCTTTATCTCCTCGTATAAACTAACTCTCTTTTTTTTAACAAATTCGGCCAAAACGAGCCAACTACATATTTTTAAACAAATATTATTTTTGGAAAACAATGGTAGTTAAAATTTACAAACCAAACCAAGCATTTCACATTTCAATTCATCATCTTTTCCTTTTATACAAATCACCAGTATTTGTTAAACATTATTCTCTCCATCAATGTGGGACAACCAACTTAAATCACAATGTAAGATTTTTAAATTATTTATATCATCCTATATACTAACTCTTTTTTGTAACCCGATTCGACCGAAATGAGCCAAAACTATATTTTTAAACAAATATTATTTTTTGAAAAGAATGGTGGTTAAAATTGACATCTAACCAACCAAAGCATTTCACATTTTAATTCATCATCTCTTCCTTGTATATAATCATTAATATTTGTCAAACATTTTTATCTCCATGAAAATTTGAAAAATTCTCAAACCACATTATGCCACCTCCTTCACCCTAGGTTGCTATATATATTTATATATATATATATATATATATATATATATATATATAGAGGAGTGATCATATGAAAACCGCCTTCATTTGTGTAAACCGTGCAAACCACCTTCATCTGTCGATTTCATTGTTTAATCTTATGAAATTTTTTCATGAAATTATTTAATCTTGTGAAATTGTTTCATATAATATTTTTTTTGATGAAGTTGTTTCATATATGGTTGTGAAATT